TCATCACCACTTATCACTTATCATAATCACCCATAATCATTCACATAAATCAGCCACATGCATTCATTCTTCATAATTCAACCTAGCTGTCATGTTTCCCCTTTCATCATTCCCTCACATTCTTTAATTCAGCCAACACATGCTTACACATGCATTTTCAGCACCAAAGAATCATTGCACATGCATTTCCAACCCACATGCATCATTTAATCATTCAAACATGCAGCCACATTCACTTTACCTAGCTGTCATGTTCCCTCTCCCATCCATTTTCAGATTTCCACCAACCAATCTAGTTGTCATTACACATGCATTCCCTTCTTTAATCATTCCTAGCTGCCATTCACATGTTCTCCCATCCCTTCTCTCCCTATAAAACCATGCATTGCATTCATTCAATTGATTCATTCTTCCATACACATTTCAGTCACAAACACCAACCATTCCCTTGTGCCATGCTCTCTCCCTAATAATCCAAACACCACACCAGAAATCATCCCATTGCCGTGGCCTCCTCCTTCCATTTTCACCACTCCCCAAACCATTCACACCATCAAACTATCCATTAGACCTTGTGCTACAACGAAGAGGAAGATAAGAGGGCCTAAACGTTCATACAATTCAAGTTTGAGTTGTTGGAATGTTTAGGTGTTTCTTTGATTTCAATGTTTAATTTCAATACTCTTTGTTTTGTACGAATGAGGAATGGAAGAGAAGAGGGCCTAAACGTTCATACAATTCAAGTTTGAGTTGTTGGAATGTTTAGGTGTTTCTTTGATTCTCTTTGTTTTGTATCATGAGGAACTAAACCCCCCCTTGGCTAGGGGGGGATTCGAAATATATGTTTATGCTTGCGTTTTGATTTGATTACTTCTAATTGCATTTCATAAGTCGTGGATTCAATTTGTTTAACTGTTTGATTGATAACTTATTTATGTATGTTTATTGAGAGTGCACGCTTAATTTTCATGCATGAATATGACGCTAGAATATAAGTGAGTTTCACCTAATAGTTACGAACTTATATTCACAAGTAGTGGAGGTTGCTTATAAACAATCGCGTTAAACGAATTCTTGGCATAAGTTTCATGCAATCATAGTAACGAATGCCTCGTCAACACTTATAATTTTCATAGAGCGTAATGATTCTTGCTTGTATCTCTATTATGCAATCATGTAGGGGACTTGTGGGAAATGTTTTGGGTTGTCGTATGCAATCATCCAATTCAATAACGTTAGGAAGATTTGAAGGTTAATTTAAGCGGACATAATTAACCCGGGGTGATGAGTTTCATAATTTATTGAAATGCAATTGGAAATCTTTTTATTATGCAAGTGTAACATGTGTGGAGATGAACCCCTTGGCTAGCATCCATTCATTCCATTTCATCAATTTCATATTTACATTCTGTCTAGTTTATTAACTTGTTTCGTTATTTCAATTTTCCTCCAAAACAAATCCCCCTTTAATTTGAAGTCTTAGATTAGTTAGAAAGTGTTTTGATTTGTGTTTCTAATTATTTTGATTCAAGTTTTCATCCAATTTCGTCCAAATTAGTGTAGGTGTTCAAAACTGCCCAGAAAGTGGTTTTTAGGCAGTTTTGAGTCTTCTAGTTGCTGTTTTGGGTTTTAGGTTTGTTTAAGTGTTTTAACTTTTAGTTTTGCATTCTTTGAGTCTAGTTTAGTGTTAAAGTGTCTTAATTTGTGTTTTAAAGTGTTTTGAATCAACCTTTAATCTTAAATTCGTCCAAATTTGTGTTTAAGGTCAGAAACTGCCTAGTTAGTGTTTTTAGGCAGTTTTGAGTCTTTTGAACCTGTTTTGAGTCCTTTGAGTCTTTGTGAACGTTTTTAACTTTGTTTTTATGTTTTTGAGTCAATTTAGAGGTTTTAGCAAGCCCTCCTAATCCCCGGTCTAGAACGATCCCTACTTGCATCCTTACTACAATTTGACAACAAGAGGGTTAATTTGTGTGCGTATAATTCTCGCATAAAAAATGTCACTCCTCACACTACCCATATGAAGACTTAGTGTGGACAAGGAAGACCATCATTACAAAGAACATGAACTAGGGAAAATGAAGGTCTGTCAACCCAAACCACATTGCACATTTCCCTACATCGCTGCGACGCCAAGAGGTGCGCAGCCTGGTTGGCCAATCTTGGAATCTAAGACCAGCGACGGTCATGGAAAGACTCTCCCAATCTAACAAACTGCATAAGTACAGGGAAAGCTTCCCACCTGCCATTCGAAAGCGAGTCCCGCAGACATGAGATTGCATCAGAGGAATCAGATTCAATGATCATTGAATTCCAACCCAACTAGTGACCCAACTTGCAACCATGCCTAATAGCCAGCGCCTTTGCCATAGCCACACTCCCAACCTTCACTGGATACCTGCCTGCACCTAAAAAATGGCCATCATGGTTCCGTTCAACTACTCCAGCAAAACCCGAGCTCGAATTCGCTTCCCAACTAGCCTCCACATTAATCTTTATGACCTCCAGGTTTGGCGGAGTCCACGTAACTGGAATCACTGGTGATCGAGTATCGGGTGTTGTGCGAGTGCGCAATGACTGGTTAGCATCCAAGAAAGCCCCAATTGAAGTGGAAATTGCTAGTACGACCTACCTGGGATTGATTGGTTGTTGGTTGAAAAGAAAGTTGCATAGTGTTTTCCAAATGTGCCAACATGTAAAAGCAATATAAGACATTAACCGTCTCTTGTCAGACTTCGATCCGTTAGCCTTTTCCAGGCAAGCATGCAGCTAATTTGCCCATGTGGTGACTTCATGATGCTGGATCCTCATGCTCAATGTGCCCCCGAACCACACCACTTCCACCCACGGACAGAGTAGGAGAAGATGCTTTATTGACTCGTCCTGAGCATTGCAAATAGGACAGGTAGGAGGTGGAGAGGATTTTTTTGAAACAAATTTGCCATGGTAGCAACAACCACATTAAGAGTCTTCCATACTGCACACCCATTTCCAAATAGAGCTTGGAATGGTGGCGGAAGTAGAGGAACTCATATTCCTTGGTGGTCAGTGGCAGCCAAGAGCCCAATGGTAACCTGAGCGAATCATACAGGTTCCATTTTTCTCGAAAGACCACACTAATCTATTGTGAATCAGCAGGTCCCCAATGGTTGTCTCCAAAATCGCCTCATAGTCCCGTGGTGACACAAAAGATTTCAAGAATTCAATATCCCATTGCCCAGTTGCTGGACTAATCAGAGAGTGCACCCGTAAATTTCTAGTGACTGGCACCGCGCTCAACTGTTTCGGTTTGCCTGAGGGGATGTGTGGGAGCCATCTATCATTCCAAACCAGAACCTTTCGACCATTCATAATTTGCCAGTGAGCGCCCCTTAACAAGATATCTCTTCCCACCAATAAACTGACCAAGCCCAGGAAGCTCTCCCTCCCCTCTTAGCTTCAAGGAAGGAGCAATTGGGGAAATATCTAGCTTTAAGAACTTTCACCCCCAACGAATTCCGCTCCGTAATCAATTGCCAACATTGTTTTGCCAGAAGAGCATCATTAAAGGTTTCAAAGTTCCTAAAACTGAGTCCACCTTCAGCCTTTGATCTACACAACCTCTCCTTAGAGACCCAATGGATTCGGTGTTCTCCACCCCATTGCCCCCACCAAAATTGGGAAATCATTGCATCGAATTCATTACAAAGCGTCGTGGGGAATTTAAAAAGGTTCATTGGGTATGCCAGGATTGCTTGCGACACCGCCTTGATCAAAACCTCCCGTCCTGCTTGTGAGAGTAGAGATTGTTTCCAACCTTGAAATTTCCCCAAAAGTGTCTCTTTCACATAGGCCAAGCCGCTTTTATTCGACTTGCCCCATATAGCTAGTACACCCAAATAGGACTCTGGGTCTCCAACTTTCACAATGCCCAGGATGTGATAAGACCTCAGGAACATTGCCTCCAAAGAAAACACTTGATTTCTGGTTGTTGACCAGTTGTCCCGACGCCAAACAGTAGTGATCGATTAACTGAATTAAACTCCTACAGTTTTCCTCTGTTGCCGTGAGGAAAATTAGAGTATCATCAGCGAAGAACATGTAAAAAAAAAGTGCTTAAAAGCAATTGGAAGCAAAAAAAAGTCTCCATACTTCTACCAAAAACGCTTTTGTAACTCAATAACATGTTTAACTTAATTTGCAAAACACAATTGAAAGCGTTTTTAATTGTCAAAACACTTTTAGTCATTCGATAAACATTTCCAAACAGACATTAGGAACGTTATGCACAAGTTGGCTTCTCAAACACTTATGGAAATTTTAAATTCAAAATTTGGAGTATACAAATAATCTACTTTCCTGGAAAATCTGCAGACGCCTCTATAATATACATATATTCTCAGGGAAAACTTCAGAATTAAACTATCAACATCCCATCTGTTTGTAAAAACCAGGGCATGAGGTTTGCTGGGGTACCAACACCTATTTTTCTACTGCTGTTTCTAGCTTCTCTGTTTGTGTTTTCGCTGTTCAACATCATAATTGTTGCGATCATTGTTGGAAACCATAGGCGCCATCTTCTGTGGAAGCTGACGACATCATATCTTTCGTGTATCATTCGTATGAACTGGAAGAAGACGGAGCTGATGATGCTGAGGATACAAAGAGTGATAAAACACTCAAGTTTGGAGGGTTATGACAACTGTAGTGACCATGTTGATGACGACAATGGTGGTGAAAGTGAAAGTGACGATCATTTTGATTCAGATGCTTACAATGAAGATGATGACGACAATGGTAGCGAAGGCGAGATTGGTTGGGGAGACATGGATGAATATGACTATAATTTGGAGAAACGAATCGAGCTTCATTGATAGGGTTAACAAGGGATGGAGGGAACAGAGGTTAAGGGATGGTCTCTCCTATCCCTTACAGCTAACCTGCATGTGAAGTATTTACAAGCCCTTTCAATGGATACCGGCAAAGCTGAAACACGTGATTACTGTCGCATGTGGGAGTAAAAATGATATAGCACCCTTTTTGAGCAAATAGTTAATTCCGAAAGTCTTAATGTGTAGTGTTCCTACAAATATCAGAGGGAAGCAAATTCTATGCAACAATTACGACTGAGCAATAGTTCTGTACTACAGACTTACAAGTGAACTTCAGAAATATTTTGAATACCATAGGTATCGTCAACCAATTTGCCAACCGAGCAATTGTTGTACTAACCAAGACCTGATCCGCTGTCCTTGGGAGGTGCATCAGCCTTGATACGGGGTGGCCTAACAACACGATCAATGAGCCCATATTCAAGAGCCTCCTGTGCATTAAAGCGCTTCATCCTACTTAAGTCTTTGTTAATCTGCATGTACACAGTTCAGAATGATCATTCATACTATCTTATAATGCTTAATTTTGCAAATCGTAATATCTCAAGCTTGTGCACCCCTCACTCAAGCAAATAAGTTCTTCGTGGGGTCATAAAACTGCTTTTTTGGTCAATAGTCATAAAACTACCTAACCCAAAAGCGACTGTTGGATTTACTTGTCAAACTAGCTAACCTTTTCAACTGGCTGGCCTGTTTTCATAGCCAACTCATTAAACAGGTAATCTCTAATTCTGAGAAGTTCATTTGCTTCATTTTGTATATCATCAGCCTGCCACAAGATTTCGTAGAGACTCGTGAAGACAATAAGGACAAGATGTCGATGAACATGAAAGACATCTACAGGAGCATTTTTGGGCATTGACAGGAAGCAGTGATACCTGACCACGAGCAGCCCCGGCAGGAGACTGTAGAGCAATTCTTGATAGTGGCATTGCAAAACGATTTCCCTAAACAAGGCAGAAATTACAAAAGTTCGAATTTCAGAGTTCAACCATCTTATAGAAAGATGAAATTCAATATTTTTTAAGTCACATAGAAGATGAAGATATTCCATCAAATCATCAATGTACAAGGTTGTAAACAACATGTATGAACAGACAAGCTCAGATAGCAATGAAACAAAACAGACACAGGAGCCATCGTCAGTCATTTTCTAAAGAAAACTGGTCAAACTCCTCACCATATCTAATTCCCCCCCATTATACCAAATCATCGTCGCACTCAGCTGTATTAGCTATGGCACTTCTGAGGCTAAGAAAAGACAATAAAAACTTATGTCGACCCCTTCATGATGAGCATTAGTACCAATGGACTTTATCATCCTGGACAGAAAAATGAAAGAACTATTACCTTCTCTCCAGCGGCAAGAAGAAAGGCCGCTAAATTATAGGCATAGCCCACACAATGGGTACCAACAGGACTTTTTAGGCTCTGCATCGTATCATAGATAGCCATGCTTGGAGTAAGCTGCAAATGATGCAGGTTTTAGATATACGTATGTCACAAGGAAAAACAATACCAAGAAAAAAGTAAAAGAATTTGACATGAAAATCTGATAACTCACATCTCCACCAGGACCATTGATGTACATATAAAGCCTTTTCGAAGAATCTGTTGTGTCAAGGTACAACATTGTTGCCAAAATTTGATTGCTGAACTCTTCATCTATGTTTTGCCCGATGAAGATCACACGTTCTCGGTACTGCATTCCCAGTAAACAGAAGCTATCTTAGAGACACAATAAAAATGGTATTCCAGTAAAACTCAAGTAGTTGAAGTCCATACAGAAATCTCCACGTAGGATGTCGATCAATGTATTCTTTTTAACAAACCGTCTAGATGTTCATTTCATATGGAAATAACAGCAATGACTTACTAGAGCATTCCACAAATCAACCCATTGCCAAGTTCCCTCACCAGGAGTTCTGTAGGGAACTTTTGGTGTCCCTATAGGCATCATTCCAACTTGTGCTCGTGAAGGCCTATGGTTTCGTGTCCTGAAAAGTGCAAATATAGAGATACATCATCCGTTCTTTAACATACTGATTAAGCAATTTAAACTACTCCCAGAGAAAAAAATAAAATAAAATAAAATAAAACCAAATTGAGCTCATGAAAACAGTTATATACAGGTATACTTGGGGGCATGCTAAACTATAGGAAAACAAAGAATTGCAACCTCTATTTGGAACTTGTTGGCTATATAATCATCCATGTCTTTGCAAACTCTCAACGATAGCCGAAATATTTTTTCATAGAACAAACAAAGAGGTTTAAAATGCACAATATGTGAACGTCTTGTTATAATTTTGAACTCTATTATGTTAGTACCACAAAAATTTAACCAATCTCATTGACGCTGCACAGCTCAAAGTTCAAAGAGAATGCCGGAGGGGGGTGTGTACCAAAGTGGAGGTTTCTTTAACAATACAATATTCTAAACTACTCTAACTTGCGGAACTTGGGTGCAACGGGGCAGGCACACTGAACCTCACCAACTAGCCTAACCCGCGTTTGCAAAACAAAAGTGCAGTTTAAAGAAGCAGGATTTCGCTCCACTAAGATAATTAAATCCCTACTGGTGGTCTCTTGAAAAACAAGTGGCCACCACCCATATATCGATATTACGCTAATTTTCGGAACAGACCCATCGAACTGCAGAAGAATTAAGCAAAATTATCAAGGACCATAATTTAGTTACCTGGGTTGAAGGCTCTCATTAACTTTTCCGTAGAACTCAACCGTCAAGTTAGGGTTTTTAGCACCAAAAGTACCTTAGTTTTGTCAATAAACAAAGAAAGAATTAAGATGGATTACATCACCAAAAAAAAAGAACAAAATTAGCTCAGGAAACCAGAGGATTGCCTAAAGACTGAAGCTTTAATCCCGAATAATGCTTCGTTGCACAACTGCGGAAGACAAATGGATAATAATTACAATTAGAAACACTAATCTTTTTTAATTTTTGGGATTAGAAAACGAATTAAAAGAGAAAACAAGAAAATCCCATGAGAGAGGAGAGAAAGAACCTGGGAGGAGGAAGGGAGAGTCTAGCTTGGGGATGAAGGCCTGGAGAAGTAGTCGTTGGGTGAAAAGAGACTGCCATTTTCACCACCAGAGAGCGAGCAAGTGAGATAGAATAGGAGGAAGACGAAGGGAATAGACTGAAGAGACCCGATCCACTACAGCCGGCAACAGATTTACAAGACGACAATAAAAACAATAATTCCAACTAATTCAAGTCATTTAATGCTCTTATTATTTAATTATATATAGCATGAAACAATTTTTCGTAAGAGCAACTCCATCCTTAAAGATTTTGCGTCAGCACCCAACCCATTTATCCACTTCAGTGAACAGTAATAGATCCTAATGAACAGTAATAGGCCAAAACATCTCCACCCCAAAAAAAATGTGTTGGCACCCAGTCTAAAAATGCGCTAGCACAAACGATCTCCACCCCTACAAAATGCGCTGGCACCCAGTCCATTTAAAATATTAAATAATTTTTTTATAAAATAATAAATAAAAAAAATAGTTTTAATTTCGGATAGGATTTTTAAACAATCTCGTCACGCCACATGTCATTATCCGAACGTACTATTTTGTGAATAGATTTCCGCTAAGATTTTCAACCAATCCCGACAACCCACGTGTCACTTCCTGTTTACAATAATTTAGGCAAGATTTCGATAATATTTTTAACCAATCTCGTCACGCCACGTCATGTTCTTCTCTTTCTCTCTATTCTTCGTGGGCCCACAGTTATTTTTTCATAAAATATATATATATATATATATTTTTTTTTTTTTTTAATTATTATTTTCTTTCCCTTTCCTTCTCGAACCCATGAATAAACCCTTTCTCCCTCCTACCATTAACTCCACCTCTGGAACCTTCTACAAACAACAAAAGCGAAATCCTCTCCCTCTCTCCACCCCCTCACCCTCTCCTCTCTCTCCCTCTCTCTGAGCTGCTGCTTCCGGTACTGCCTACTGCAGCAAGACCAGCAGCGGACGAGATCGATCGAGTTGGCTTTCGTGTCCAATCCAACTATTCTGTTTGGTTGGTGGGAAAATCCCTACTCCCTGTTCATCCCCAAACCTTTAAATCCACGCTTTCAAGGTAATACACGCCGGCTCCTTGATTTAATTCCTTTTTTTTATTTATTATTATTGAGTTTTCCATTTCCAATACCTAGAAATCTAATTACACAAAAAATAATAGGAAGTAAATTTTGTTTTCTAATCATCTGACGCCACGCTGATGTCCGCATGACGTCATACGGGCCGGTCCATGGCTTTGTCGATTTAGGCTGGCCTGGAGACCAGCTTGGGCTAGGTGCCAGCCTATCTGCTGGGCTGGAGTTCGGCTAGGTGCCGGGCCAATAATTTGGCTGGGTGCCGACCTATTTGTTCTCCGGTGGAAGTGCTCTAAAGAGATCGAAATTTGAAATGTCACAAGGTGTATCAACAACTAACAGTCTTCAAATTGAATGAAGTTTTTTTTCTTCAGAGATTATGTTTATATGAGGATAAAATAAATAAACGATTAGATTACAATATTTGTACATTGAAATGACTTCACATTTTCATATAAAAAGCAACGGACAAGGATTGTCTGCCCTCCTACTTCCGGTGCCCTCCTGTTTTGTGTGGTCACGGTTAAGTCACGTCAACATTTTATATTATTTTTTTATAGAGATAATAAGGCAAAAATGAATAGTAATATAACATGTTGATGTGGTTTAACCATGACCACACAAACAGGAGGGCACGGGAGGGCACCGGAAGTGGAAGAGCAGACAATCCTTGTCCAAAAGGAACAACTCCTTGATTGTATTACAAAGAGGAATTGTATCAATAGTCCTTTAACTTTAACCTAATAGGAACAATGATCCCTCAACCAAAAACCTATGATCATTGGTCTCTTAACTCATCAAAATGGGTAGCTATGGTCTTTTTTGTCAACTCCCAAAATTTCGTCAAAATGAGTCATGTTCAAAGGACCATTGCTACAATTGGGTTAAAATTGTAGAACCATTTTTCTAATTGGGTTAAAGTTAAGAAATCATTGTTACAATTTTTCTCATTTGGTTTTCCATATTTTCCTCTTAATTCAGCCTCACGTGGGCGGCACATAACTCATTTTGACGGGATTCTGACGAAGTTGACAAAAAGGACTATAACTATACACTTTGATGAGTTTAGGGATTAATGATTATGAATTTTTAGTTGAAGGAATATTATTTTAATTAGGTTAAAATTGAAAGACCATTACTACAATTTTCACTATTATTAGTTTTTAGATGTTACATTTTTACATTTAACACTATTATCTAATTTCAATTACCAGGGCTACCCTCCCTCTCCACACTCAATTTTCAATTTCCTTCCTTGCAGTTTAAATTAACCTAATTAAAATATTGATTGAATAAAAAAAAAAATCAATCGCTCTCCAAATTTAACTTTTGCCCTTTACCAGTAATTAACATTTGCCCATTTTTAAATTAGAATATTAACAAAAAAACCAAAACCGAAATCGAAACACAAACCAAACTAATCGGTACCGAACGATTTGGTTTTTGTGCCTTTGAAACTGAACCACAGTGGGAAAAAGCGATTTGGTTTCAGTTTGGTATTCTGAAACTGAACCGAAACTGAACAGCACAACAAAAAATAAAAAAATATATTTAATTTAAAATACCCATATAAACGGTGTGTTCTAATTGGTTATTTGCTTGAGTCCATAAATTTAGTTTGATCCGCACACTGCAAACCCATTTGTTTATTTTTTTCAAACGAAAGGGGGATTCAAACTTAGTTCACTGCCCTTGTTTGGAAATAAATAGTGATGCGAGAATTATACGCACACAAATTAACCCTCTTTTTGACAATTGTAGTATAGATATAAGTAGGGATCGTTCTTAACCGAGGATTAGGAGGGATTGCTAATCATAGTCACCACATACTAGTTCACAATTAAGCATTTAAAACCATGATTTGAATGTAGTAACATGCCTTAGAGAATTTCCTCAATTCTTTACTAGAATGCACTCTATTTTCACACAGATTTTCTAACTACACACCCTACACTAGTTATATGTGAGAGATTGATGTAAACATGAAAGACTAGTACCTCACATATGTTATAACAAAGAAAGCATTTCCTGGATTTACGATAATGACATGAATATGATCTCATGAATGGAATGCTACTACTTAGAATGAGAACCAGTGATTCCATAAGCTCATATCAATTCCAAACTCCACATTTTGAAACACATAACACTCAAGATAGAAGTCAAAGGGTTGTAACGGGGCTAGGGTATTGGCTAACAATGAAAGGTGAAGGATAAACAAACATTCTTAAAGCAATAGTGAGCAAAGTATTGAATTAGGCACTTAGAATTCCCTTAAGAACGTAGAAGTCAACTTTGTACACCCAAGGGAAAGTCACACAAAACTTAGGGCCATATTCAACTTTTTGGACCCTTTCTTCAACCATCAACGCTCGTGAGTTCATTCTTACTTATTTTCACTCCTTTTTTTTTCTTTCTTTTCTTCTTCTTTTTCTTTTGAATCTCAAAACATACATATAAACGTAAGAACAAACTTTTACTCCCCCACACTCATTTTCTTGCATAATGTAACTCAAAAGGAATTCATTTAAGTCATGCTCACTATACTTTAAGAACAAGGGTATAGGAAAATCCTACTCTAGGCTAGGTGAGGAAAATGTGGGTAAACAAAGAATAAAGGCTAAACAAGGCTCAACGGGGTTAAAACTTACAACATATACGAAATATGGGAAGTAAGGCTATTTGGCTATGGTGGTGGTTACACAACTTCATCTTGATATATGTTATGCAATTCAATGTCATGCTTTGAATGAAACGGATATAAGTTCTAGCATTTAGTTCTATCATGATATAATTGCATTCTAAGTAGCAACCAAGCAAGGAATAATGAGATCATGCAACAACTTTAGAAAACAAAGAATCACAGATTATAACTCTCCAAAGAAGGTAATGGCTCGAGTCTCACAGGGTTGTAGCGTTTGTTTGAGTTCCTTCCTTCAAGCATGTTACAAAAACGAATTTTTCTTTTATGATTGCATGTGAAGTGATACATTATAACCATAACCAAGCATATACCAAGAGTGAATCAAACTTTTCTCTATGTTTATAACTCTTTTTAACAGTCATGCAATTACAAACCAAATCCTTATCATTGTGTTGGAAGGTATCCTAAGACACAAACACACAAAAACGACTCAAAACACTCTTTTTAGGCTTTTCAAAACATGTTTTTCAAATTTTTATGTGATTTTCGGAGTTATAAAACAAAACATACTAAAACACTCTAAAACATCTTAAAAACACCTTAAAACAGCAAGGAACAACATTTGAAGTTATGGGTGATAAAATCCCACGAATTTGCATCAAATATACTTAGTTACCCCCCCCCCCCCCACACACTTAAATCACACATTGTCCTCAATGTTTTAAGCATAGATTTACATAAAACATAAGTAAACACACAAACAACATTTATACATACTAAACATGGCAGAATGTAACTAACAAAGAGAAGAGTTTAGGGACGCAAATCTGGAATTGGAGTGCTTTCTCGGTCTTCCTTTGTTGAATGGATGGGTTGATCTTTGGTGATTCCACAGGCTTACTCTTGAACTGGGCTGGAGGATTCTTTTTGGTCTCCTCCACTCGTTGATTTTCCTTTGTGCTACTCTTGAACTGAGCAGCAGGATTCTTTTGGTCTCCCCCGAAGGTCTGAGCTTCCTCCCTTTTTTCTGTTTCTTTGTTCAATCTCTCCAATTCGTATTGAAGAGGGTTAGAGGATAGCTCAGCATACGCAGTTGTAGCTTGTCTCCACATGCTTCAATGTATCATTTTCACTTGCCTTACTTGCTCCCCTTTGCAGAAGTGGTCCCTTCTCTGGAAGTGTATCAACCGTTGAAGATGACTACTCGAGAGCAACGCTAGGTAAGCAATCAGGGAAGGGATTCCAGGCAGTTGGTTCCAGATCGGAAGACTGACTCCAAGTGTCGGCTGATTGCTTCTTTCACTTTGCCATGCGAGTAAGAACAAGGACAAAGAAAAGGACAGGGAAAGAGCATGATATGAGATACTTTTGCTTTTGACCTTGATGATATGAGATACCTTTGCTTTTGAAGAA